ACGCGAACCGCGGTTGACTACGTGGGAATCCAGCGACATAGCCATTACGCTAACTGCTGGTCCCCTAGGCTTTAGCGATTCTAAAGTGAAAAAGAAAAAGAGCTTGAGAGAGCTGATATTGACTACTGTGTTGAGCTACTGGCTTGTTAAACCTAGCACATAGTGGTTATTGAGTAAACAATGCTTTTTAAGGGCAAGGTGGGAAAAGAATGTTGTGGGGTAAAAAAGGGCAATTGGGGTCACTCAAGAATGAATCCGTCAATTTTGTTGGTTTTCATCCAGACTCAGAAAGAATGCTTACTTTTCATGGTTTCGTCCAACTTTGAAACAATGCGCAGTACAGATCAGGAGAACAATGCCTAGCTCGTGTCCACCTGACCTACATGACAATGGGTCTGTTGTAGGGAGTTGTATGAGTGGCTTATTTCGATGCTGTTGTTTGGCCAGAAATTTGCTGAGAGGGCAGAAGCAGCGCTGCACAAACAGAAACTGTAGCTTCTAAACAAACCACGGCTTGGTACAGAGTAAAGTAAGTTTCTATTTCTTTCCATCCCATTGTCTCTATCCCTCTCCATAGTCCTAGTTGTCTTGCTCTTGGGGTTAGAAGTAGGGTGCATTTATCTGGAGCTTTCCCTTGACCTTCTTAGGCCTATAAAATCTTGGCAAATCCCTTTTGTGATCTGCCTCTCATTTTCCACATCCCTAAATGGGAACAATTGTATATATCACATTAAGCAGATTGATGGTGCCTGCCACAAAGTCTTTTATAGGATGGAAGGCCAAAGATGTTAATCATTTGTAGTGTATTTTTTTTTCTAAACCTCTCCTTTCCTTCTAAACAAAAGATGACTTGTTTAGAGCAGAACCTCTCATTTCAGAAGTTTCCTCTGAAAAGCTCTGTTACCAGCTTTGAGGATGGGAATGTGAAAAGTTAAAGCAAAGACATGTCAACTTTATAAAAAGAGCCCATGGAAAAAGTTTCAAGTCATAGAATCATGCATGTTAGAGATAGCATCAACCCCAGAAAATGTATTCAGAAGGAAATCCTGGGCTACTTCACCAGTAAACATAAGTCTGTCTTCCTTTTTGTCTGGAGAGTCAAGGCCAGTGATAGTTGTAAGTGTATTTACCCTTAAGTGGCAATGTTCTGTTCATAAGCTGATTATTGTGGGTTGAACCATGGCCCCACAAAAATTATGCTCAAGTCCTAACCCTCACTACCTGTCAATATGACCTTATTTTGAAATAGGTCCTTCGTATATCTAAATAAGTTAAAATAGGGCCAGTTGGTGGCCTGGTAGTTAAGGTGGCTGGATCCCACATGGCTGACCACACGGGGTCAAGTCCTGGACGCAGCAGGCTGATAAAATATACCAGGTGTATGTGCCTGCATGCCTGAGGGTAAGCTCTATATGTCTAGTTCTCCTCCTCCCCTTCTCCCTATCTCCCTGATCCCAGCTGCAGCTCCCAATGTGCCTTGTGAACATCTTGTGACCATTTCCTCACGGAATCAGCTTGTGGCCAGGGCTATTCTGGAGGCATGCATCCCTCTCCTAAGTCAACATCCCCAGATCAGGGGCACTAAATTAAAGTACAAATTCTGGCAACTGTGCTAACGACAGCTTCACCATTATCATCCTCAAACAATGTATGTAGGAACCGGATCAGTACCTTTGGAGACTGGAGTCTGTGTGGATCTTACAGGAGATGTACGCACTCTTTGATCTATAACATTCATAATGTGAGCCTATGTTCATAGATGCGCAGGCTTCAGTGGAATTTCTCTAGTAAATAAACTCATGTCTTTCCCTGCTGGACCTCAGAGTGTGTCCTTTGGAATTGCTAAATATTATGAGCAAGCCTTCTCACATTTGGGGCTCCCCCCATACAGTGGCCAAAAATCCCAAGAGAATGAAGGAGAAGGGATTGCAGCATGGCCATCTCCCCTAGGGCATGCTGCTCACCCCCATCCACCATAAGCACACATACCATGCAGTGCATCTACAGGCCAGGAATGTCAATGATTGTGAGCAACCACAGAAACTGTAAGAGATGAGGAAGAATCCTGCCCCTCAGAACCTTCAGAGGGAGCATGGCCTGCCCACACCTTGGTTTGGGATTTCAAGCCTCCAGAACTGTGAGAGAAGAGATACTAATTCTTTTCAGCTATCAGTTTGTGGTCATCTGTTAGAGCAGCTCTAGAAAATGAATATACTGACCAAATGACCTTACCTCATCAGGTTTGTCCTTTTTCAGTCAGTACACTAGAACAAATCCTTGCTCTCAATAGCTTTGAGATTTCCCGTGGAAATTTTAATTGTTCGTGTATTCCATATATATATATATATATATATATATATATATATATATACACACACACACACACACGAGAAAAAAACACTATACAGATCCCTTCCTGCTCAGCTATGAAATGCTATAGGGAAACCCAAGAACCTGCTAATGAGCAGAGCTTTACTTTCACCATCTGCAAGTGCTGATATTTACTTTATGTTACCTCAGAATAAAAATATGTCTTTTAAGTGTTTTAAGCTCTATGGAGGCAGCTATGGAAAATTAGAGGTAGCATTATTTATTATCTTCTTTTGCCTTATTTATTTATTTAATTTTATTGTATTTACTTTTTAGGTTTTTGCCATAGGGTGTTTGTGCTCACCAGAGAGAAACAGAGAGAGAGGAAGTGAGAAATCGCCCCTCTAGAGGGAATGACCATGCCACAATCCCTTCCCTTCCATTTTTCTCCTGAGATTTTGGGCACACATGCACATGTGCCTAAGCTGCCAGGTCCAGGACTTGGACCACAGTTGGCCATGTGGAAATCTGCATTTGAAATACCACACCACTGGCTGACCCCTCTTTATAATTTTGTTATTTATTTGTATTTTTGGTGACTGATTTTCTCTTCCTTAGAACTCATGATTCACATCTTTTCCTCCAGTCATCCTTCCCTGGGTACCCGACACTAATTTTTTTTTTTTTTTTTTTTTATGTCACTGGTGATTCCACACCTAAGTAAAGGTGTTAAGAACTTGGGTATTTATTTCAATCCATTCACAGGGTTGTTGTAGAGAAAGATATTTTAAATATTTCATTTGAGCATATTCCTTTATTTGTTAGGTTATAAAGATGAGTGTAAATGGAATGAATACCTAGCACTGAGGGATTTTTTGGTTTGTTTTTGTTTTCATTTTTTACTTTTTGTAATATGTGAACTTGATATAAAATCTGTTGGCCTAATTTTTTTCTTCCACCTCTCATTACTACAATGAGTCAGATGAAACCTGTAACTGACATGAAGCTATTGACCTGAAGAAGAATCCACTGCTTAATTACATCATCATTAGTGAGATGTTTCCTATTTTCTTATTCCAAAACAGTTCTGTTTTTCCTGTTGAAAGAAGATTCTTTTGTCTTGCTTTACTTTTTGGCCTCTGTGTTAACACTTTTCTAGAGCATTGCAAACGTTTCTTTTTCCTCATGCATGAAAGAAAAATATGAATAGCTATTTGGTTTTATTTATTTATTGCTTTTCGTGCATACAAACTTTTGGCTCTTACCCTGTATCTAACATTTACACTTTTTTTTAGCCTTCTGACATAGGGAAAATGCAGTTACCAGAGAGAGACAGAGACAGTGAGAGGGAAAATGAAAAATCATCTCCGAGGGCTAATGGTCACACTGTAATCCCTTCTCCTCCATTCTCCTCCTGAGATTTTGGGCATGCACACTCACATGCCCTGCATAATTTTCAAGCTTCCAGGTCTGGCACTTGAACCATGCTCAGTCATGTGGGAGTCCAGCACCTTTAACCACCATGCTACCTGCTGGCATCAACATTTACACTTTTTTTGTTGTTGCCCATCATTTATTGGCTTGTTTGAAAAGTCATGATGCATTTTTGCATAGAAACAAAAAATACATCATGACTTTTCCAACAACCCAATAATTGTTTAAAATATGTTTTGAGAGGATGATACTTTCCCACATGGGGTATGGGTCACAATTGAGGTTTTAATAGTTTTTTAAAAACTCTGTGATTGGGGCCTGTAGGTGGCAAGGTGGATAAAGGTGCTGCTGAATTCCCACATAGCCAACCATGGTTCGAGTCCTAGACTGGCAGCTTTCTTTCTTGATTTCCCTTCTCTCTCTTTCTCTGTCTGGTCAAATTAAACAAATAATAATAACAAATGGAATTAAATAAATAAATAATTCTTTAAAAAAAAAAAACCCACCTCTGTGATTATTCTTAGTGAGCTTACTCATTACTCATTTAGCAAACTTTTAGTACACAGCAAACCTGTTGTTTTAGACTAGATTAATAATGAACTTAAGTCAGTTTCTCAACTATGCATTTTTACATTTTCTTAATTAATAAGATATTTATAAGATGTCTCTGAAATGATTATTTTATTTTATCTTTTTGAAAAAGTTTTTCTATAGGTGCGTGTCCTTGACGGAGAGACAGAAAGTGATAAATCACCCCCCAGGGTGATGATGGCTTCCCTGAAGTCCCTTCTCCATTTTTCTCTCAAGATGTTGAGCACGGGACCAGCAGTTAATGTAATGGCTATGTCGCTGGACTCCCATGTAGTCGACTGCGGTTCGAGTCCCGGACCCGGTGACTTAAACTCACGCCGGGCGCGTGTGCGTGCGTGCCCAAGATCCCGAGAGGAGAATGGAGGAGAAGGGATTGCGGCATGGCCATCCCCCCGAGGGGGTGATTTCCTGCTTTCTGTCTCTCTGTCTGTCTCTGTCTGTCTGGCGAGCGCACGCGCCCTATAGCAAAAACCTCTCCAAAAAAAAAAGATGTTGAGCACACAAACACACGCATTCGGCATGAGTTTTAAGCCACCAGGTCCAGGACTCAAACCGTGGTTGACTACTTGGGAGTCCAGTAACTATTACACCATCTGCTGGTCCCTAAATAATCGTTTTAAATAGGTGATCTCATCTGACCAATAACTTGATAGAGTATATCAATCATGAACAGACTGTGGTAAGTATCTGGTTTACATATGTCTGTATCATGTCCTGGATTTCATGTTGTGGATAGAGAAAGGTAATTTGGATGACCCAAGGATGGATAGGGGATGACAGGGAGAGGAGTCTAGGGCAACTAATGAAGGTAAAATGATTCAGTAGGGTGGGCCCTAATACAATATGGCCTGCATCCTGATAAGAAGAGGAGCTCAGGAGACACACAGCACATAGACCAAGAGACAACCTATGACCACACAGCAAGAAGGAACCAACTGTCAGTCAAGGAGGAGCCGATGTCTTGGTCTTGGATTCCAGCATCCAGAATGGAAAGGAGCTTAGTTTCTGTCAGTTCAACCTCCTGGTCTGTGTCCTTCTTTATGGCAGCCCTAGCAGGCCAACACAGCTGGATCCCCAGAGCATGTTCATTCCCACTCCAGAGGTCAGCTTGAAGGGCAGGGTGAGGGGCACGGAGGAGGACGAATGGCAGAGCCTTCGACTTCGACATTTGCTCAGTACAACTTTGAAAGCTCTGGGTAAACCACCAGATATACATTGGTTAGCAGAGATGGAACCCTTCTCAAGGGTAGGGAAGTAAAGAAAAAGTATGACTCATAACAAAACAAGTAGGCTGGGGTGGGAGGAGATGGCTGCAAGCATTTGGTTGCTGTCATGCTTCATTCCTCCATGGCCGACATTTCATTTTTCCTTACCAGAGGTTGGCCCTGTGCCCTGGTGGCTAAAGAAATCTGTAAGGTCCCATTCAATAAAGTTCTAAGCACCACCTGGTATTGCTCCAGGCCTACCAGACATCTGCAGAACTGGTCTTGGCAGGAGCCTCCACCCCAGGTACTGCTACTGCTAGGTCACATTGCCCAGGGAGTAGTAGACAATGACACAAAGTGAAAACTCCTCTGCATATCAGTCTGGCACACAGTCTCCCAGAACAGCTTGATTGCCCTTTAAAATAAAGCCCCTCCCTTCTGGTGGTGGGGGGGAATGGCTGAGGCACCTCTGGCTTTAGACCCTTGGGTACTTTCTCTCTCAATAAACTTTCCTTTTCTCTCTCTCTCTCTCTCTCTCTCTCTCTCTCTCTCATTATTTACGTATTTAATTCCATTTGTTATTCTTCCTCTTTTTTTTTTTTTTTTTTTTTTTTTTTTTTTTTTTAATTTGACCAGAAAGAGACAGAGAGAGAAAGAATGGGAGAAATCAAGCTACCAGGTCTGGGACTCGAACCACAGTCAACCGTGTGGAAATCCAGTGCCTTTAACCACCATGCCATCTGCCAGTCCCATACTTTTATTTTACCTTAAGATGATGCCTTCCTAGTCTTACTCTGAACTGCGACAGAAGCCAAATCCTACATGACTGTGGTTCAAATCTCTGCCATGGTGAATTGAAAACATACTGTGTGTGTGCATGAGTGTCCTAGATTCCAACAAGGTAGAGAACTGGAGGTAAAGGAATTGTAGGGTTACCAGGCCCCACTGGGGGTGCTTTCACTCTCTTTCTCTCTCCGTCTCTCCTTTTTGGTGAGTGCATGTGTCCTCTGGCAACCAAAAAAAAAAAAAAAAGAGAGAGAGAGAGAGAGAGAGAGATCTGTACTCTAAAAAGAGGAAAAGGGAGAGGTCAGCAGAAAACATGATGATTAAGGCACTGGACTCTCACATAGCCAATCATGGTTCAAGTCCTAGGCCCAGTGGCTTGGGAATCATGCTGGGCACATGTGCATGTGTGCCCAAAGCCCTGAGAGGAGAATAGAGAAGAGATTGCAGCATAACCATCCTCCAGGGGGGTAATTTCTCACTCTTCCTCTCCCTCTCCAGCAAGCTCACACACCATATAGCAAAAACCTAAAAATAAATAAATAAATAAAAAGAAGGAAAGAGTGGAATTAATCTGTACAGATTTCTCTTACTTTTTATATGGATTTTTCTTTCTGAGTGACATAAGGAACTGGTGCATTAAAAGTAGTAATGCACCAGCAGATGGCATGGTGGTTAAGGCTCTGGACTTCTACGTGGTCAACAGTAGTTTGAGTTTTGGACCTGGTAGCTTGCTTTCTCACCATTCTTCTTTCTCTCTCTCTTTCTCTCTCTCTCTCTCTTGTGAATGCACATGTCCTGTAGCAAATTAAAAAAAGATAATAATGATAAATAAGATTAAATAAATAGTTCTTTAAAAAAGGTAGGACCAGCAGATGGTGGAATGGTTACATCTTTGGACTCTCATGTAGTTGGCTGTGGTTTGAGTCCTGGACCTGGTGGCCTAAAATTGCACTGGGTGCAAGTGTGTGCATGCCCCAAATCCCATGAGGAGAATGGAGGAGAAGGGATTGCAGCAAGGCCACCCCCACCACAGGGTGATTTTCTCACTTTCTGTCTCTCTCTGTCTCTCCAGTGAGTGCATGCTCCCTATAGCAAAAATCTCTCTTAAAAAAAAAAATGGGGGTGGGGGGTAAAAGAAAACCAAGCTATTCAAAGAAAGATACAGATCTTGGGACAAGTGGTTGTTGTAATGGCTATGTCGCTGGAATCCTATGTAGTTGACCGCGGTTTGAGTCCCAGACCCCGTGGCTTAAACCTACGCCAGGGGCGTGTGGCTTAAAACTCACGCCGGACGCGTGTTCGTGCATGCCCAAGATCCTGAGAGGAGACTGGAGGAGAAGGTATTGAGGCGTGGCCATCCCCTGGGGGTGGGGGGGAGGTCTCGCTTTCTGTCTGTCTCTGGTGAGTGCATGCGCCCTATAGCAAAAACCTCTCCAAAAAAAAAAAAAAAAAAAAAAAAAGAAATGAAAAGGAAAATAAAGAAAGAGATACAAATCTCCCTTGGGCAAGTGTACTGGGCTGAATAGTGTCTCCAGGAATCTATGAATGTGACCTTGTTTGGAAATCAGGCTTTTTGTAGATATAATCAGTCACTAAGATGAGATCTTACTGAATTAGTGAGGCCTCTAAATTCAATATGACTGGTGTCCTTTTAAGAGGAGAACTGAGAGACACATGCAGATAAAGAAGAGGAAAAGTCCATGTGAAAATGGAGGCTGAGATTGGGCACATGTGAAAATGGAGGCTGAGATTGGGCAATCCAGCTAAAAGCCAAAGAATATCAAAGATTCCACCAGAAACTAGGAAGAGGCAAGGAAGAATCCTTTCCCACATCCTTCATGGATTTGCCAACACTTTTAGCCTCCAGAATTGTGAAAGAATAGATGTCGTTTTAAACCACTAGGTGTGTGGTAATTTGTATTGTAGCCCTAGCAAACTAATACAGGTCAGGAGGGCCATAGCACAACAGGTCTTCTCCACTAGTTCGGCACAACTAAAAGTCAGTGCTGTCCATCTTTGCCAGATCAAATATATATGGATTTCTGAGATGGGGTGTATTAGTTTCTGTGGCTACTGTAACAAATTACCGCAATTTAATGGCTTAAAACAATATACTTTTGGGGCCAGCAGCCAACGTGGAGGTTAAAGCACTGGATTCCAGCATGGCCAACCATGGTTGAGTCCTGGACCCAACAGCTTGAAAATCATGCTAGGCATGTGTGCATGTGTGCCCAAAATTCTAAAAGGAGAACGTAGGAGAAGAGGCTGTGATGTGACCATCCCCACTGGGGGATGTTTGTCACTTTCTTTCTCTCTCTTTCTCTCTCCAGTGGGTGCACATGCCTTATGACAAAACCCAAAACAATACATTTTTATTCTTTCATAGTTCTTAAGCTCAGAAGTTGTTTTGTTTTGTTTTAGAGGTTTGTTTGTTTGTTTTTGTTTTAGGGCATGTGCCCTCACCAGAGAGAGAGAGAGACAGAGACAGAGACAGAGACAGTGGGAGGGAAAGTGAGAAATCACCCCCCTGGGCGGGGGGGAATGGCTACACCACAATCCCTTCTCCTTCACCCTCCTCCCAAGATCTTGGGCATGCATACACACGTACCCAGCATGAGTTTCAAGCCACCAGGTTAGGATTTGAACTGCAGTCACCCATGTGGGAGTCCAGTGACATAACTGCTATGCGATCTATTGACCTCTGTCAAAAAATCTTAAAAAAAAAAAAATATGAAAGCTAAAGGTGAGCTACTGAGGTGGTATGACTTTTTCTAACCTCCATGTTGGATATTCTAAACCTTCCCATGGGTCAGGACCTGCCCTCTATTTCCCCAATATTCTGAAATTTCTACCACTTTGGGCTTCTTTACTACTTCAGCTCTGATGGCTGTGGAGTGGGGCGGGGGATATAGGGAACTTGGATTCCTATGAACTGGGGTGAGGACCATGGTCCCTTGCTACTCCCAGATGGTGCCTTAATCAGAATGGCTGTGGCCAGGATCCTCCCAAATCCCCCAAGAGCGAGCACTCCTCCCTGCTGGGTATCGTGTCTTCCTCAGACAACTCAGTCTGAGGTCACATGATAAAAACACTTTCTTCCTATTCATAGTACTTTTGAATCCACTCCTGGAAAATCTATAACCCTAGCATTATTGAATCAAAGGATTCTTTCTAGCTCTATTTTCACGGTATGGGCTCCACATGAACTGGGAATAGCTCTGTCTGAGTCATTGGGATGAATGGTGTCATCCTTGAATATGCAGTTTCCGTTCTCTAAATTTATCTCTTAATAGAAGCGTGTGTCTGTGTGTGTGTGTTCACCCAGCTGCATGATTATTAGTGGATTAGAGAATTAAAGGGAACAGAAAGTCTATCTGCACTCAGGAAGGGGGCGGGGCCAACACAATAGAAGAGAAGGATTAAAGAGGGAAAGACATCAAGAAAAACCAGTGAGCAGGATCCCATTCTATACCCTAGGAAGTAGAGGCAGAAAGGTCTTTTATGCTAGTGTTAGAGGCATGGTTTATGGTCCCTGAAGTTTTTTCAAATATGAAGTCTCTTTTAGAAAGAAGAATACATAACAATAAATACAGAATTAGGGTGTTTTTGTTTTGTTTTGTTTTGTTTTAGGTTTTTGCCATAGGGCTCTCACTGGAGAGAGACAGAGAGAGAGGGAACATGAGAAATCACCCTCCCATATCAGGGATGGCCACATCACAATCCTTTCTCCTCCATTCTCCTCTTGGAATTTTGGGCATGCATGCACACATGCTCAGTGTGTTTTTCAAGCCACCAGGTCCAGGACTTCAACTGTGCTTGGCCATAGAGATCCAGTCACCTTAACCACCATGCAACTGTTGCCCCCCCAAGAAGTTTATGTTTTATTTCTATTTTATGTAAGAGGAAACTGACATTTTAGAGTTGAGAGATTTGCCTAAATACATGCAGCTGGTTACTAGGGGAGGTAGGCTGAGACCTAGGCGGCACTTGCCTGTGCTCCAGAGTTAACAGGAACAAATACAACTGGCAATCACACCTGCTTACCAAGGCTCCGGTGGGTAGAGGAGAGCATGACAATGGAGCTCAGTGTAGCTGGCTGCCTCTCAGCATTGATTTTGCTTACCTGTCTCTCTCCATCCCCCTTGAGGGAATGCTCCAAGCTCCACAGGCAAAACAGTAAGTAATTTGCTCCAAATAGGCTGGGCCAGCAGTACACAAGGGACTGGCAAGGCCCTGAGGAATTACTTCAGATCCA